TGCTTCATCCCATCTGCCAAGTGTCCAGAGCGGACAAGGAGGCAAAGCTGCCACATCTCCATCGTGCTCCCTCCAGCACAGGCGCAGTGGGGACATGGCCACTGTGGGACCCTGACAGAGGGCTGGCAGGGGTCCCCTTGGCTCCCTGTCCCATGGGGGGACACTGCCAGCTCTTGGCATGTCTGTGTGGAGGGAAGGACCAGCTGGCTGGTGCTGGCTCTCACAGCTCGTTCTCCACAGGTGCTGATGCTTGCAGATGGAGACAGCGCTGGGTTCCTCTACCGCCAGTTGCCTTTCTTTGCATCCCTGGAGAGGAAGGATGGGAAAGCCACTGCCTATCTCTGCAGCAACTTCACCTGCTCCCTGCCTGTCACCTCTGTCCAGGAGCTGCGTGGGATGCTCAGCCCATGAGCCCCTCGGCCTTGCTCCCTGCAGGAAGGCAAGGGGAGACAGGCTGGCATGGGACCATGGGCTAGCCCTGTAATAAAGCCATCCTGAACACCATCCCAGGTGGTTCCTGACAGTGCAGTGGAGCTGTGCCCTTCCCCACCTGCAGCAGGTCAGGGTTTGCTTGCACTGTCACTCCAGCAGCATCTTGGCACAACCGACTGGTTCCTGGTGCTGGTTTTGACATGGCCAGGAGACACCCACTGAGGAGCATCTCCTCCCCCTGCATGGGCACTTGCTCCTCGCCTCTTCTTGCTGAGGAAAAGGGAAACAAATTAAATATAAATCCCAGTGTTAATGGAGAAGTCAGATGGGAAAACTGTTGGGGTTCCTATAGCAACCCAGGGTAACATTGTCAAAAGCACCTGGATGACTTGGGAGTCAAGTGCTCTTGAGAGTGTTACTGGTTACGACAGCCACGGTATTGTTCCATTACAGAGGAGATTCTAACATACATTAAGATATAGTGCATGAAAAAAGTGCTGATTACAGCTGATGAAAACTTTATCCTTCCTTTCCTCCCCTCCATCCTTCCTCCTCCTCCCTGCTTCCAAATGGGTGAGTACTAGGTTTTCAGCATTCCTCTGACACCCTGAGCTCCCCCAGCACAGCACCCCGCACCCTGGCTGGCTGGGTGCTGTCGTCTGGCAGCAAACAGCACTGCCCACCAGCTTTCCAGTGGGTTGTGCCAGGATTTAGGGGTAACCAGCCAGGAGAAATGCCTTTGAAGTCAAATTGGAATTTTGCACTTCATCTCCTGAATGCTTTCTATGCTTGTAGAAGAGGAGGGGTTTTATTTTCTCTCTGCTCTTGGTTTTAAAAGCTGAAGTGTTTCTGGAAATCCAGATGAAAATTGCTGGTTTGGCAGATGGATGGCTGCTTTCCTCTGGGGTTTTTTTGCTCTTTTTTTTTTTCCTTTTAACTTGGCATCTCTGCTGTGGGGATTGATTTGACACCCGTCCTCAGGAGTGCTTGGAGTGAGTTGGTCTGTGTCTGCCGGGAGAGCATCCTCAGAGAGCAGGACTGGTGCTGAGCACCCTCAGGGAAGCCTAGATGTCTCAAACCTTGTGATGGCAGCTGTCCCTGAGGTGGCATGGGGCTGGGGGCGACATGCTGAGCCCATTTCAGTGCCCACCAGGCCCCTGTGGCACAGACACAGGATGCCTTCCTCCCACACCCTCTTGCTTGTTGGTGTGACTCTGTAAGCAGCCGCTGGGCAGAGCTGTGCTGTGAAGCTCTGTCAGGAAGAATTGGGCTCACCTCAATAAAATAAAAAAAAAAACAACAAAAAAGAATGAAAAGTTCCCTGTGATGAATAACTGCTTTTGTGGCACTTCGGTCCTCCCGGCGCTTCTGCCTTGCTGCCATCCCCAGGCACCAGTGGCCCTGTCCTGTGCAGCCCCAGGCTCTCTGCCTGTCCCCAGCACCACCCAGTTGCTTCAGCCCTTTGGTTTTATGGCCTTGGCAAGGGGTGTTTTTGCTTCAGTTTGGACCTTGCTGGTCCCTGCGGTATTCCCTGGCCAGTCTGGGTGCTGGGGCACACAGGGGTGCCACTTCTAATTGGTGGCCATGGCTGTTTAACCCTCCAAGTGACACTTCCTTCCTCATCCCTTTCCTGTCACTAACCTGTTAATTTGCTTAAGTGTTGTTTTCTGGGGCAATTAACAGCAGACAGGACTGGCAGGTACTGTCCAGTTGACCCAGGCTCTTGGGAGGGTGGTGGAGTGCAGTCTTGGTCCTGACCTCTTCCTGCATTGGAAGACACAAGGTCTGCCCAGGATTCTCCCTTTCCCCACCAGTGCAGAGGATCAGGTTGACTGGAGGCAGCATCCCACACTCCCTCTGCTCCTTTCCAGCTGCAGAGCTGTCAAAGAAAACCTCCCAACATGCATCAGATAACCCATGTGCTGCTTCTTCCCCACAAACACTTGGGTTTGCTGTCAGCAGGGCACAGGGGGACTTCATCACCCTGCCCACCTGGAAAGTGCCAGCAGCCAGGGATGGGAGAAGCAGGTTTTCCCCTTCTTTTTTAATATAAAAATTAAAACACCTTTAACATGTAACACTTGCACTGGGGGATGTGCAGTGCACCCCCTGGCTCAGCCCACCAAGGCAGCCAGGAGGGCTGATACCCCCCGTGCCCCTTTGGGGGGTCTGGGACACAGTGGGTAGGGGGAAAGGCAGTGCCAGCAGCCAACCTTGCTTCACTAATGAGGCTTTCCCTCTAATTAATATTCCCTGGAAAAGCCAGTGCTGGTTCTTGGTCTCTTGGCTTTTATCTCTGCTGGCATTGATGTGACATCAATGGGAGACAGGCTTTGAAAGCTGTTTGTTATTTGGGATGGTGCATCTGCAGGAGAAGGAGGATGGAGAGGGGTGTCCCCAAGCCTGGATCCAACCCTGCTCCAGTGCCAATACCCACTGTCCTCCTGAAACACACGTGAGGGTGCAATTTGGCAATCATAGCCCCTCTGAGAAGATGCACTGGGCAAAATAATGAGGTTTCTCCACTCGGTTGCTTCCCATGTGGGTGCCCAGGGATGGGTGCCCAGTTCACACCTGGGCACGCAGCTAATTCACGTGTGAGTCCCCAATTAGGGCATGGCTGAGCACCCCATTGTGCCATGCTTGGGTGGCCAAATAGTCAGCACCTGAGCACAGATCTGCTCATGCCTGAGTGGCTGATTAGCTCCTGCCCGAGGGTTGTTTTGAACATAAACAGGCAGGTTTTGGTAGCTGGGGGCTGCTGCAGGATGAGGTTGGGAAGTGCTGCTCAGTGGCTGCTCTGAAAGTGATGGAGAAGCCCCATAATGCCACAAAAACGTTAGGGAAGCCTAGGATAGGCAGGTACAGGGAGGGCAGGAGATGTGGGGCAGGAGATGAGAAGTGCTTCCATGCTAATCCTGTGCAGTCAAGCCCAATTACTCCAGTATTCACCCAGAGGGAATGTGCAGCTGGCAAGCTGCTGTGGTGAGTCCCCTGAGTTCCAGCCTTCTCTCCAGGGTATTTTGAGGGGCTTGCTGGGGTCTCCTTGCACTGGGAGGTGGGTGGGAGCACGTGTTGGGTTGCAGCTGCCTTCCTCCAGCATCCCATGGAGCATCTGCAAGCAGCAGGGAGTCTGGGAGGCTTGATGGCTCCACTCCCCCCTCCCTGCCCTGGTGTTTGCCTTGCACAGATGTTCGCACCATCCAGTAATTCCAATATTCCTGACAAGTGAATTTGCAGCTGAAGCCAGCCAACACTTGCTCAAAATGTGGGGCTTTTTTCCCCCCTTTTAAAACCAGTTTTCTGTGCAGATGGGTGCCAGGGACCAGGGGATGCAGTGCTGGACTGTGGCATAGGGGCTCTGAGTGGGGAGGTTCTCCTTGGCTCAGCTGCTGCCTTGGTTTCCCCTCCCATGAAAGCATGTCCAGGTCATTCCTAGCTGATCCATCCACCACCCCTGCATGGCCCTGGAGCATGTGCCCTGTTTGGCCTCCCCCAGAGCCACCACATGCACAAGGGGCGTGTAGGGGAATTCACAGCTCTCCCCAGGCTGGTGCCATTGCCAGGTGCATGTGTGAAGGTGTTTTGGGGACCTTCATCCCCAAGCAATGCTCAGCTGCTCCAAACAGGCACTGCGCCCATGGACAGATGCTTTTAACCAGCATAACACTTGGAGATCTCCTGCTTCTGCTTGACAGCTGCAGTAATCCCATCCATTTCTCACAGGACTGTCAGCCTCAGCCATAGCTGGGAAGGCAGGGAGGGATGGGGAGGGATGGGGAGGGATGGCCGGAGGCTCTGCGGCACGGCAGGAGACCATTCACGCCGATTAAGGGTTATGCAATAGACACTTGGCCATTACATGGCCATTAATCCTCCTTTAATATAGTTTTGGTATTTACTGACTGCAGTAACTATTGCATTAAATCAAAATTAAATGTTTATTTTGGAGGCTTTACAGAAGGGTGGAGGAGGATGCCCGGGAAAGAGAGTGCAGGTTTGTGGGAGCCTGGGTAGGATGGGGTTTTTTTGGGTGCACAGGGGAATCAGGACCCCAGTGGAGGGATGGCCTTGTCATCAGTGTGGGGATGTCCCCAGGTGCCGTGCCACTCTGTCAGTCCAGGTGAGGTGACAGTGGCATCTCCACTGCCTTCGGCACTTTTCAAGCTGCTAAATTAGAGGCGAGAGATGCTAAGGGCTCCTGGGGAGCTTAGGCTGTTAATCAAAGGGGAACAGGCTCCACTTTCCATCTGAGGTTTTATCCAAGGCTCCAACAAGGACTGAGGCTGCTCCTCTCCCCATGACTGGGGGGAAATTCTGGGATTAACCCTTTGCATGCTGCAGCCTGGCAGGAGCATGTAGGAATACTTCATGGTATCAGCTGAGGCTGAAACACACATCAGGTACCCGTGGTTTGGGGAAAGCTGGAGCTGGTAGGCAATGCCCAGGCTTTGGGGCCAAATCTCCTGCTAGAATAGCAGGATGTGCCCCCAGCCATAGGAGCTGAGTTTTTGGCCACAGCATGGATGTCCTGAGGCGACTTTCCCGATGCATGGATGTCCTGAGGCGACTTTCCTGATGCCCACTGGCTTGTTTGGGGACTTTACCCACAGTGGAGGAACCTGAATGTCCCTGCCTGACCCAGCACTCTCCTTCCCGTCCCTGACACCCATGAATCTGGGGCAGGCAGAGCTGGGCTCGCTGCAATTATCCATGGATTAACAGCAGCTAATTTAGTTTGAGTCATAGAGGCTAAATTGGATCGATACGTTGGGGTGAAGAGTATAAAAGAGGAATCAATAGGTATTCAGAAACGCAGAAATTGAGCTGCACATCCCTATGGAATGAAGCTTTGGGGGCCAGGGCAGTGGTGATGCCTGGGAGCGGTGTGGGGCTGGGAGGGAGAGGTGGGGATGTGGGAGCGGGTGGCAGGAGATCCCGCGGGCGATGCACGCCAGCAGAGCAGAACTGCAACTCAGCACAAGGCTTTCAACGGGTTTTTGCAGCTCAGCAGACTGGAGGCTGCTGTGACAGGCGCGAGCTCAGCTCTGTGGGATTCGAGGCACGGGTTTGACAGCCAACCCCCGCCCGTGCCAGTGCGCTCACCCCCGCGCTCGCTGGGGACGTCACGGCCGCGAGGAAACTGGTTTGATGTTCAACCAGAATTTGGGTCCAAACTGGCTTGGGCCGTCCACAAGGTGTGCACCAACCCTGGATGCACAGCAGGATGCACACTGGTAAACTGAGGATGTCTCAGTTGCCCCC